ATATGTATATGTATATTTGTATATATATACAGATATATTCAGATATATTCATATATATAATAATATAGATATATAATAATTTATATATATATATATATATATATGTTTATATATATACATGTTATGTATACAGTTTTATCTATGGATATCGCCGCCTTATTAGTAAACGACGATACTTCTCTCCCTTACAGCTACTCTAAGCGCATTTCCGCTGGAGAGGCGTACTGCCAGCTACTACAAATAAGAGAAGCCAATGCAGACTTGACAATGAAACAGCGAAGTCAGGTATGTATAAGGATGCGCGCCTATACAAGGTTGCATGTGCTTTTTTTTTGTTATTGCTACAGTGCGAGTATGGGGAGAAATGGTTCACGCTGTTACTGTTCAAATCCTAGACAATATTCAAGTCTGACTAACTTTGTAGTCCCGATCCCCTGGCCTCTGGCTCGTATGATAACCAGAGAGCGGTTGGAATATATTTGTAGCGTTATCCGACTGATCATTTTCCATTGGGCTGTCATGCAGCTTAAATCGCAGTGGCTGGGTCAATGGGAGAAGACCATGAGGGCCACTTTTGTGAAAGAGACCAATAGCCATCGCGCGTTGCTGTCGAGGCTAACCCCTCCGGGAAGGAAAAAGTGAACTCCCGACTGAGGACAAAAATGAACCCGATGGCAGAAAATTAGGACGCTGCCTATTGAGAAGAATTGTGCATTCCAGGTGCATCAGAAGTACTATCGACCTGTTATTCTTGTGCCCAAGGTACTGGCGCCTAGAGCAAAGCCTGGTAGAGTTCTGTGCGACCGTCAGGTTGATTCGAATCGAAATTACTCGGCTGCGAGGAAGTTGTTCTGGCTAAGCCAGTGCCATGGCTCGTGCCTAACTGACAGACAGGTTGGATGTGGTACTGTACCGACAGGCCAGTTGGAAAATAGTTTCCCGTGGCGCTATAGCTGGAGGGTTGCAGTGGCTAAACAAACGTACGAATACCAGGCGAGGCCAAGACACTCCATGAGACGCCCTCCTGGCATCAGCATGCTCGAGTATAGGAAGGTCAAACTTAAAAGGGGTTAGTAGTTCAATGCTTTCCCTATAGCGCTGTAGGTACTTTCAAATACGGATGCAGTACGCCCAGATAGACCTGTGGACGTCTTAACAATGTTATGCGAGGCCAAAGTGGTCGGGAGAAACCACTCAACGGCAGTTCTTGGGATGGCCGGAGGTCGAACCAGGTCCCACGGATTGAGGGGCTGTGGTTGGTTCAGATATTCATACAGCTAGCAGGTACAACAGTCGATAGAACTACTAATTGTATGGCCCAACTATTTGGCGTTCGACTTTATATAGAACGTGGCGCAACTGCTGATTCTATAACCCGAAGAAATGCTAGTCGTGAATAGTTCGGTACGAGAAGACTAGTTTTTTGAATTTGAATCAGTGACGGGGCATTCGCTGCGAAACGGGTGTCGTCGTACACTCGAAGAATCCCATACTAGTTAATGCATCTCCAACAGAACTATGAGTTAAAGCGGATATAGTAAAAAATTACTAGGAGAATCCCTTACTATCTCCAATGGAACTATAAAATCTGGGCATAGCTGAGTTAAAGCGGATGGATATAGCCATGGGTCAGATAACATCATTTTCATTTGCTCGTCTACATTAGGATTATGTCATACAATATCGAGTGCCCCACATAGTACAGGTTCCCGCAATAAAAAAACTTGAAATCCGAAATCGGCAACGGCGGTAGTGATCCCTTAAAATATTTGTGTGCGGCCATTTACTTTATACACAACTTGCATTTAAAATTGAATGGGCCTGAATTGTCGAACACAAAATTATTATTACACACACCAAGACAATCACAGGTCCCGCTGTCTTCGTCGTTCTATATATGGGTAAATCTTTTTGTCTTCTGTATTTGTTTAACATCGCTCGCTTCCATCAAATTCAGGTGGATTAACTGATGACAATTTGAATCATTATCGGCTTTAAACGAACAATTTGGATTGGCCTATGAGGTGCAAAATTTATTATACCTCACATTGGCCGCGAGATTCATGGCCGAGTGGCTACGATTTGAAGCTAATTTCTCAGGAACTACTACCGCAATAAGCACGAGAAGCAAATTCAGAAGCCTTTTCAAACCAAACAAATATATTGATATAGTGTAAGCTGCTTTACCAACTAAATGAAACGGCTAAATCTCAGACTTAGCTCAAGGGTCCTGGCCCAGGTACTTATTGCCATGGCTATGCATAGACTAACCTTCAATATCCGCCTATGTAGGCGTGTACGGATACCAGCTCAAGGGGTCTGACCAAGGTACCTATTGCCATGGCAATGCATAGACTAACCTTTAATATCCGCATATGTAGGCGTTTACGGATTCCCATCGAAATAAGAGAGATGGCGCACACGGACCTTGTCTGATATACAGATCGAATGGACAATTCAACCTTCACAAACATACAGATCAAGTATTGATGCATCCTTTGTTGGAGATACCATAGCTACTTCGGAAAGGCCATCTTAACTTCAAACTTTACAATCATATAGATCAAGTATTTATTCATACTTTGTGGCGATACCGCGGCTAATCAGGTATCGTATGTACAGTTTGCGCACGATTGATTCGTTCTTGTGTCGTATCAGAGTACTCTATGCGTGCCTTAAATGAAGATAATGCGTGGGTGTACTGGCCCGAAGTATTTGGGAGGCTGATCCCACCTAATCTGTGCTACACACCCACCGCTCAGATGTATGGCTGCATGGGCTGTTGGAAACCAGCTCCTCCGTAGATGTCCTGACCCTGTTGCTGCTGCTGAGTTAAAAGAGGGCCGTGGAGAAATCGGATAGTCGGTTAATGACTTAAACGAGTATAATTGACACATGAGATTTAACGAAAACACGTTCGCTAAGGCCAATATCCATACCAAGTAGGGTATACCAAGATTACGGCGACAAGGCTATCACCACCCAAAACTCACTCCACTCCCTATGAATACACCAGTGAAGCCGCTGAAAGCACGGTACGAAACACAACAACACCCCATGATATCCAGGAAACCGAGAACTACCATCCACAATAACTCACACACAGACATAAACGTTTAGACGCACCATGTACTGTGGATGCATCATGGGCTGCTGGGGGTCTACGCCTTGCTGTTGTTGTAAAGCGGTGTAATAGTATAGTTGCTCGGGGGCGACCATCATGGGTCGGATCTCCTCTTCTGGGCGTTGTGTGGATTTGATGTCGTCCCGTGGCACAATATCGATGAGAAAATCGAAGGTGTCGTTCCTGTGAAGTAATAAGAAGCACGTGAGGAACTTAGCTGTAGGCTACATACACATGACTTGGGCACGTACTGAAGTATACGAACAGCAAGCCATACACCTGTTCAGAATAATAAACCTCCACGCACAAGACAGGAACGTCCACACACAACGCATATATTACCGTGCCGCTATCAAGAACACAGACGTGTGTATCTATATACACATCACAGTTACCATAGCACCATAGTCGATAGCACCCTGTTCAGCGCAGTGTTGTCAATGGTGCAGGAGCACGTACCTCGAAACAGCCATCGCAATATCGTTTCTTTGTAACGTACGACGTTTGTTCTCCTCTGTGTGCCCCCAAGACCTCATGCCCAGCTCGCGGATGAATATTTCTAACGCCTTCGAGAATAGAATTAACGCTTCTGCAGAAATCATCTATTTTGAAAGCGGAAACATTTCATAGGCATACGTTAATACCGCCAATTGACCCAAAAGTCATATGTTAAAGAGTCAGTAGTTCTACATGTCAGGACTTAAACACCACAGAGATAGAGATACGTGACTTTAGAAAGTCTGGAGCTTCGTTAAACATCTCGGCCAAGATTATCGAAACATAAGCGCGAAACATATCTGTGCGATCGAATAAGTTAGTAATCTCAGAAATCCAAAACACCAAGGACACACACTCACACACACATATATATATATATGTGTGTGTACGTATGTATACATACATAAATAAAAGACAAACACACACAAACACACACACACACACATATATATATAAATATAAATATACATACATACATTTATATATATATATATATATAAATATTTATATATACATACATATATATATGTATATACATATATACACAGGTATATATATGCATATAATATATATATATATATATATATATATATGTATAAATATATATATATATAAATGTATATACATATATACAAAGGTATATATATGTATATAAATATATATACATATATTTGTATATAAATATATATACATATATTTGTATA